CTATCAGGCCCTTCGGTGAATACCGAGCATAAAACGTTGTTCAACACGCGTGCGGTATCATGTAGTGGAATGGGTTGACCATTTTCGTCACAGAGTGATAACGGTTTAGATGCGCTTGGGTTGATAAATTTCCAGAACTGCTTCGGGTTAGTGTTTAGCATGTTCAGTAACGTTGAAGCAAAAAAAGTTGCGTTTGGATTACACGGCAAATGAATGGAACAGTTTTTCAGTGGCACGATACTTTTCCCATGCTTGCACTGTGTTTGATAACTTTGCAGACCGGTAATGTCGCTTCTTTTTGTTTTTTAGGCGCTTTAGTGCCACACTAAACCTTGGTGTCTGTGGTCGCTCTGTAACTATTACGGTGGGGATGTAAGAACGAATGAGATCGTGCAATTTGTTTTTGAAAAGACACCAGTTTGTTTCAACTGGGCGTTGTGAAAAGTCTTCACAAAACCAGCCATAGAATGCTGCGAGTTCCTCGTTAATGGCCACGTAGTTGCCTTTATCGTAAAGTGTTAGTTTTTTCTTTACGCTTTTCGATCTTGGGCAGTGAAATTGTAGTGTAGCATTTATTATAGCATGGTCACTCAGCCCAGCCAGGTACGAGACGGATAAAACAGTTTCTGGGTGCGATGTTAGCAAAAGGTCGAGGATACTTGATGACTGAGCAGTTTCTCTCGTAGGGGTGTAAACGAGTTGTGAAAGTCCGAATGTTAGGCAGGAATTCGCGAAATCACTTTGCGCGCTACATTCGGACAAAGTTAACGACAAATCAGACCAGGTTATTCCGGGAAAGTTGAAGTCTCCAAGTAGTATAATTGGGACGTTGGGATAAGAGCCACAAAGTGAATTCAAAACATCATGGTATTCAGCAACAAACGACCGCTCTGCGTCAGGTGGGCGGTAGCACACACCGATAATGGCGGGGGGATAAAGTGCTTTGCAGGATACAAACAGTACTTCTATAAGTTACTGGGAATTTTTATAACATTACATAACAACCTGCTGTGAGCAGCTATGAGCACACCACCTCCCCGCCTACCGATGCGGTCGCAACGAAAGTAAGCAAAACCAGGGAAATGGAGTGCCAACTCAGCACCCGAAATTGACTCATTACACCAAGTTTCAGCTAGTACGACGAAATCACATTCTGTAGTTTCTATTATGTGTAGTAAATGGTCTCGTTTAGGCATGAGACTTCTTACATTGGTGTAAATGAGTTGAACGGGAAAAGTGTTAGCAGCAGAACGTAAGGGAGTGCAAGGCCCCCGTGATTCCGAAACGTATTCAGAACACTGCAGATCGTGACGTGAACTCACTGTTATCCACGATGGCCGCGGGATGACACTTTCTGAGATTTCGTCAAACACGTACGTGACGCCATCGAGGACTAGCTTGTTGTAACGAAGTTTTATCGGTTTATTTTTTGCTTTGGCAAGCTCGGCCAAATTTTTTCGCGCGAGGCGTGTGCCCGGTGAAAAATCTTCGCTGATGCTGTATAGATACCCTCGGAGGTTTTTGGAGCATGATAGTACACGATCTTTGTCTTTCCAATTTGCAAAGCGTACGATTACGGGTCTGGTCTTGGCAGGGTGGAAACGGCCTATTCTGTGAGCCATTTCAATGTCTTTTGGTGCTAACGGAACGCCAAGGTTTTCACTGCATACGACAATTGCTAATTGTTCTGACTGAGCCCATGTTTCATTAGCGCTGTCCTTCAGACCAAAGAATACAAGATTGGATCTGCCGGTGCGATCCTCAGAATCATTTACTCCAGCTGTAAGGCTACTAATTTCATGCGAGTTTTGCATCGCGATTGCCTGTACTTCCTTAATGTCATTCTTAAGGGTAAGGAGGGATGCGCTGTCTATTTCAACTTTTCCAAGTCTTTCAGTGATAGTGCCGAGCGTTTCGTCATTTTGTGTCAGTTTGGTAAGGAGATACTTCATCTCGGTTAAAAGCGCAGCTTGACCTGTTTGCAGATCTCGCAAGACTTGTAAAATGTCGGACGTTGCTTCCGAAGGAGATGAACGGGTAGGAGGACCAGGCTTTTCCTCAATGTCGCCAGCTGAAAGCAACAGTTCTAAGACAACAGACGCACATTCATAGGCAATTCTCGCACAACAAGTGGGGCTTGGCAGCACAATCAATGCCATTTAACGAGTATGCGATGCATACAAGGAATAGCGATTGTTTACCTGCACAAGAAACAGGCGGGGCGTGTAAGCGTTGGCCATCGAAGCATTGCTGCCAAGCCCACTGGTGCGCGCGCGGTCGATGCAAGACTTTTGTCGGTGACGTCAGGATCAGCTGGGTGCCACGAGCTGGTGGACGGTGCGCAAAAAGTTGATAAGGTGGCTCGATTACGCTCGTCGCGTTGTCGTGACGGCTGTGGAAGGGTGCGGAATCCGGGAACTGTGAAATGGCCTGGTCCGCGGTGGTTGGGTCGATGCTGCGTGGTGTTTCCAAAGACGGCAGCACCACACTTTCGCCAGCAGCACACGGTTGACCAGCAAAACAGGCGAGGAGAGAGGCCATGTTGAGCATCTGCACAAGAAACCGGCGGGGCGTGTAAGCGTTGGCCATTGAAGCGTTAAGCGTTGCTGCAGCACAGTATACGACTTCATCGCCTCGCTGCCTTGTACATGCTGTTCTGAACAGCGGGTCCAAATGCCTTCCCACGTCTGAAATGTAAAGCTCACAGGGTCGCTTAACATTTCGACGGTGATGACTCGAAGGTGAACGACATCCTGTGTAGACCATCATCTTCATCGTCGTCATCGGAGACTGAGAGGCCATGCGAATAGCTGCACACTTCGTTCATAATGGGGAGGCTGCTGCTTATTGACGAATTACGGATCAACGCTCGGTAATGGGTTGGCAGCTTGCAATCACTCGCTCGTTGCATGGTTGACACGGTGTGACGCCTGGTGTTATCCTACGTTTCTGCTAACAACAATACGACTCTTCACGCGACTGCCTGCTGAACGTGGCTGCAGGGTGATTTTCCAACTCAGTTTCATGCATTGATGCCGCTTTATATATGGTAGAATACCAAGTCGCCACTCAGATTGTTTTTTTTTTCCCTGAGGTCATATTGGTGTTTTACTGCACGCCACGTTTTTTTTAAAGGGCAGCGTTCAATGAAGCACATAAGGCTTACACATTAATAAACAAACGAGAATCTACTGTGTACAGCTACACGTGTTTAGAATGTAGTGATCGTGACGTTAAAGATAATTCGTTACACAGATCATTTCCTTGTAGAGGTCGCGCGCGGGAACGCTCCCAATAAACGCTGCACATAATTGGATTGCGAAAACATTGCTTTAACCTGCACGTAAGGTATCCTTCGTTATATCGGTTCTTCAATTGTAGAAATTTTCGTTGTAGAAGAGTTCAAATGTTGCCACACAGCCTGGCGTCTCCGTGACATATTGCAAAAAAAAAAAGCAATAAATGCATACTGCACGTGATGTTTCCCGCAAACTGGCGCGTGCGACTCTTCGTCGTAGACCTGGCACCCATCTAGCAGTCTGAATATGCATACGAGTGCTTGGAGCTCTCTATTTTTCTGTTTCGTTTTGAGGCGACAGTCGCGACCTCGTCACAGTGCAGTCGGTGCGAAGAAGAGAATATGTATGTCGACGTCTTCTTGAAGAGCGTCTAAAAACAGTAAAAAAGCACAGCTAGAGAGACCCGGGAGAACCTCCACGGGATCATTAGCAGTCATCCCTTCGCAAGGTGAGAAGCTGGCGAAGAACAATGGCCGTCACCCCTGTTTTTCTCGAGTGAGCGGTGGCGCCGGCGTGACTCTTTGGAGACGTGGAGACACTGCGCGCGTCTTCTTTTTCTCCCCGCGTCCGTGGGAGGCGGGTGTGACGGGTGTCACCTCGTTCACGGGTCGCGACGCCCGCGCCTGGCGTCATGCGCGCGACAGCTCTGCCGTGTGTGTGCGGCGTCTTCGAGAACTCTCGGCGGGCGTACGATCACACGTATACAGTTTCGCGGTGGTCTCAACGAGAAACGACAACGCTAGAAAGATACTTCTGGAAGGTTGCGTTTCCGCGGCCCCTTTCAAACGTGGGAGTGAAGTTTTACATGGAAAGCAACTACTGTATACGTTACGCGTCGTTGCATAACCGAAAATAAACCAGGTTGTTTACCAGTGAAATAAGTACTTATACACGTATAATATGTGATGTAGATTCCGTGAGGAAAGCGCTGGTGTCATGCTTAATTAACGGTGTAAAACACTGCAAATATTTTTCACAACACACACGATGTTGTATCAGTGTGTATAGAATAGACATTTCTCTTTTAGCGTTTTTATGTTATGCCCTTACTTTTCTGAAATCTATCTCTACGCCTTAACAGGAATTGTGCTTGTATTCTTCCTTTTAAATCAGTCATATAAGGAAACAATTGAACTAAACAATAACAAATGCATAGATAGATAGATAGATAAATAGATAGATAGATAGATAGATAGATAGATGGCAATGCCACCAGGACGTATTTCTATCTATCTATCTATCTATCTATCTATCTATCTATCTATCTATCTATCTATCTATCTATCTATCTATCTATCTATCTATCTATCTATCTATCTATCTATCTATCTATCTATCTATCTATCTATCTATCTATCTATCTATCTATCTATCTATCTATCTATCTATCTATCTATCTATCTATCTATCTATCTATCTATCTATCTATCTATCTATCTATCTATTTATCTATCTATCTATCTATCTATCTATCTATCTATCTATCTATCTATCTATCTATCTATCTATCTATCTATCTATCTATCTATCTATCTATCTATCTATCTATCTATCTATCTATCTATCTATCTATCTATCTATCTATCTATCTATCTATCTATCTATCTATCTATCTATCTATCTACTTTTATGGCGAGCTGTCTTGTATACCCTTGACGTCAATGTTTCGTTCTTCACGTTCTGTGTTCCTTCACTCCGCAGATTACGCAACTGAAGATCGACAACAACCCGTTCGCCAAGGGCTTCAGAGACACCGGGGCTGGAAGGAGGGAGAAAAAGTGAGTATTCACTCTATCTAGTCCAAGTTGTCATGGTGTCGTTCATCGATCATGCATCTATATTATAGTGATTTTAGTAAGAAAACTGTGAGGACCTCTGATTTAAGGAAGGAAAGACAGAAATATCGTCATTATTATTTCTATTTTTATATTTTAGTAGTAGTAGTAGTAGTAGTAGTAGTAGTAGTAGTAGTAGTAGTAGTAGTAGTAGTAGTGGTAGTAGTAGTAGTAGTAGTAGTAGTAGTAGTAGTAGTAGTAGTAGTAGTAGTACCATATGTAGCATCTCATGCGTGAACAAAATTATACAAGGACACAGCGGAAAATACCAAAACAGCAAGCTGAAGCTGAAGACAGATGACTGTAGGAACAGCGCAACCTAGAAGTAGGTACTGCGTAACTACGGAAGCGAAAAAACAAGGACAGAAAACAGGCGCGGCGGAGGCTGTCCTTTCTGTCGCTCGGCACTCTTTTCTGTCCTTGTTTTTTCGCTTCCGTAGTTACGCAGTAACTACTTCCAGGTTGCGCTGTTCCTACATTCAGTTATGTCCTACCAACTTGCCCAAGTTTCCACGCTGAAGACAGATGTTTGCCGTAAGACAGGCTTTGCGTATGAAGTGAGGCAGTGTCACGAGGAAGCTGTTGTTATGTGTCCAGCGGCCATAGCTGCAGCTATACGGCTATACAGTGGTGCCTATTGCATAATAAATACATTGAGCTATAAGATGTAGTCATGCAACGCTAGTCCCGCTCGACGTTCTTAATTTGAATAGAACCCTTGCACGTAATCGTTTGCATGTCTTGTAGCAGCCAGGTAGGACAGGAAGTTGAGCAGGTGGCCCCACGCTTCATATGGATACTTGCACTGTACCTATATACCAGATATCGGTGAGTTGGCGCCTGCCTTTAACGTGGCGCCCTCTGTGCAGAAGGCTGGGCGAGTCGTCGTCGCACCCGCTGGGCGGCGACCCCCTGGCACGGTCGCTGCAGGACGGCGACTCGAGCGACGACGACGAGCAGCTGGACGTCGGGGGCGCCGACGACCTCAGGGGCCTCAACGGTTCCTGTCCGCCGACGCATGACCACGACGGTACATACTCCATCTTTCCTTATGTCGTGCAAGATCTTATATCGTGCTAGATCTTTTTCCTTCTGTTTTGTATATTTTTGCTTCTACGATTCTAACAGCTGCTTGTGCTTTTATTATTTGTAATGATCACCGAGGGTCCCGTTGCAGTCTTGTAATTTGGGACCCTCGTCTGTATATTTTACTCCCTGTAACATCCCTTTATGACATGATAATAAACTGATTGATTGATTGAAGAAATTATATTACCTTTCTCCGGGTGTGCAACGCGTCGCTCAGGTACACTTGAGAAAAATTGGTGTGGGTAATAAGTTCTAGGAATGATGGCACGTTGCATCGAGCTATGCAGTGCGTTCACCTTTCACTCTCTTCTTTTTTTTTCTTTTCTTATGCTTCCATTACCTTTCATTGAGAGCACAATCATTTCGAGCAATGGACGTTAAAAAACAGAATGTAATATAGTTGACAAATACTTTATTAGGAAATCACTTGATAAGTGCGTCAATTTTCCGCGTTTGAATTTAAAACAACAACAACAACAGCAACAACAAACACAAAAACAACAAACGAAAAAGCGGCATTTTCTTTCCAGGTAAACGAGGGTGACTGACATCATCGCGCGTTTAAGTCAATTCTCCTTATTATGTGAGCTTATATAATACTTGATGCGCAGAGTATATCTTTCTTTGTAAATAAATGACAGATGTGAGTTCAACCAGTCCCATCGCACGCATTTCCGTCGTTCTTGCAGTTTCTCTGTTTACACGTACCGTATACCTCTTATTCCGTAAGCACACACAAACGGTTGTCGCTTTCAGTGAAATACCCCTTGTGTTTCTTTTCTTCATCATATCCTCCACCTCCTTTTGCCGTTTCCGCATTCTCGATCAAGCCCGACAGTATGCACACGTGACATCTCCAACGCACTGTAAGGTTTTTTCGCTGCCCCTGCTCCCTCCGTTTTCCCCCATTCGCCTTGCGCACTTGACTTCCTACGCGATGGCGTGGCCGACTTCAACCGATTCTCATTATACCGCTATAATGTTAACCGTCGTGAAACCTCGCCACAGGATGGAGCCCTAACTTGAAGTTGAGAAACCAGGGGTGATCTTAAATTAGCCACAAGAATTTATCGCCACGGGTTTTCCTATGTATACAACGCAGGTGTCTTCTGTAATATTCCGTCGTTTGTTATTGTGAACAACGTCACACCATCTGCGTGTCGTTAAATGCGATTCGACACTCGGCGAGGGCTCGCCACGCGCTTGAAGTGATTTGTATTTATCTTTGTTTAGCTTAACTTTATTGATAGATAGACCTGTAAAGGAATAATGACAAGCAGTAGAAGCGCGCATGGATATTCTGACCAATTAAACGTGTGAGAAAGGGCTTCGTTTCAACGGTGAAGCTGTTCTCAATCTAGGCCTTCTTTCATGGCCGGGGACTGTCGTAGACCATGGAACGCAGTGGGATTTATAATAGTAGGATTTAGCATAGCGGGATTTACCGTGGTTGAATTTACCCTCAGAAAGTGGGTGAATCCCACTACGGATTTGTGCAAAGCCTCATCAGTCCCATAGGACTTACAACTAGGACCACTACTGCTCCCGCCACTTCTGTCTCCCCACTCACTCGCTTCATGCCACCTCATTCGACCCAGTGCACTCAACCCCGTTCAACCCCACCGCACGCCAACATCTTCGATCTTTCATCAATGTCGGCCAAGCGGAGCTGCCAAAGATTTTCTTTAAGAGGGGTAGCTTTTCATTTTCATTTCATTTTCATTTATTTTACCCTCAATCGCACATAGCTTTACAGAGGGGAGTGGGGTGCAAGAAAATAATAAACTATGAACAAGAGAAACATAGTGACATCAAAATGATAAAGATTACAAGACATGTAAATTTGATGTTAGGCAATACACTGGATGTATGTGTAAGTACCATCAGAAACATGGGGGAAACTGAATACAATAATATAAATGTACAATATACACTTCACGCGTCATCACGTAAGTACTCCTGTATTAGCTTTAGTGCTTCAAAAGGAAGGGAAGGCGGAAGAGAATACTGGAATGACGTACTGGTGAGATGTGGCCTATGTCCAGTTTTCTGTACCCGAAGAGGGGTGACTGGAACGAGGAGTAAGAATGAGAGCATAAATGCAACCACCCACAATGGGCATGTACACAATTGGGTGTACTCTGCAGGTGAGAACCTGAGCAACTTGCCTTCAAGAACAGCAAGAGGGCTCGCATGGTTTTATGAGCTGATGTGCTAAGAGACTCCCAATATATATCATTTAGTGAAGGATCTATGATCCAGCCTCCTCAAGACGCCTACACAGCGTATCGCGAGGTTGACCACTTAGCCGCTCCTGTATATGAAACACTTGAGTCTTTATACGCGAACCTAATGCTGCCCTACAGCACAGTGCCTGCTTTAAAAACTGAATGGGAACTTCTTTTTAACGTCTAGTGGCTAAGGTACTCGGCTGCTGACCCGTAGGTCGCGGGTTCAAATCCCGGCTGTGGTGGCTGCATTTCCGATGGAGGCGGAAATGTTGTAGGCCCGTGTACTCAGATTTGGGTGCACGTTAAAGAACCCCAGGTGGTCAAAATTTCCGGAGCCCTCCACTACGGCGTCTCTCATAATCATATGGTGGTTTTGGGACGTTGAACCCCACAAATCAATCAATCAATCAAATCAACTTCTTTTTAACGGGGAATTCACGGGGTGGGGCCAATCGAGGCTCCACACAGTTCACATGCCCTGAAAGAAGATCCCGCGGTAAATCATTCATGCAGACACTGAACGTATAAGACCAGCGTACATATACGACCATATAGGTTAATGTGCCCCGCTCCCAATAAACATGGCGCTGATCGCGACAATTGCCAGCTCTGGATCGTATAGGTCGCGGCACCTCGCCCCTATGTCCACCGCAGTGTGGCGCTGCTGGGGTGTAGTAATTACGAGAGTGGTGCGAACGTGGCGCCGCGGCGCGGAGCGCATTGACGTGACGCTAAAGGAAAACACGAGGCACATATGAATAAACGAAAGCCATTTTCTGGCCCACTCACTCACTCGCAAAGGAGTCGCATATACACGAGAGGCTAGAGGGCGTGTCCGAGGAATGATGAGAGCAGGTGTGAATGCGCTATACGCGGCACTTTCATGAATGCGCACGCCTATTTAGGTGTATGCGGTGCGTTTTGTATATATGCTGGGAAGCGTATATCAATCCCATTGCATGCACAGGCGTACATACAGCAACGCGCCAGTGCCTTCCGAGCATATAGATGCGACATGGACGCGCGGGTCGTATATTATACAGCGCACATCTGCAGGGCCGCCCACACAGTCGTCAGCACATTTGCACGCTGCGCGATCCTTTTTAATGGACTCGTAATGGGCAGTGGCTTCTCGTGTCGCCCCGACGGAACAGGGCAGTTTTTCTCAGTAATGGGAGCTGGACAGGGGAACGCGCACGTGTATTCGCCTATATGCAATGTACGGCCCCATATCCAAACGACTTCCTTCTCGTCTTTTTCTTCTTTATTTACTTCTCGCTTACTTTAGTACATTATGCTTTAGATCAACAGGAGAACGGGCTACTTATTCCACAAATTTGAAGCGTAAAACTGAGAACGATACATTGACAGCGAATGAGCTGCCAACTTGTGTTCGGTTTCGTGTCCAATATGGGCGTTAATAAACTTTGGGTATTTCAACTTTAGGTGTTTGAATTTAGGTATTTCGTCAGTTTAGGTATCAACAATTTTAGGTTTAATGGTATTTATTTACGAAATACTGCACGCACGAAACGGGGCTCAGCCAGTAGGGGCGAGTGTGCGTAGATATTTATTTTTATTTATTTATTTAGGTACCCTAAGGGCCCAAATGGGCATTACATAGGGGGAGAATGGGTTGAAAGCCGACACAGCGTACAATATTGTAAAAAGAAAGAATCAACACAACAAAAGTGACATTACAATATCATAAAGGCAGCAAAAGTACACAATTGCAAAGTACAGCGTGAAACATATAAAAAAGTGTAAAAGTGACAGAAAATCTGGTATTTGGAAGGCAGGAACACAAATTTACAGCCTAGAAAAGATGAGCATGATGAAGACAAGTTACAGGGTATTTTGAATAGCTAGAAAAGCGAGGAGTGCGGTTTGAAAATAAGAGGTGTCTGTTTGGTCCACTAGGCTACTAGGTAAAGAATTCCATTCATTGATTGCCAGAACAAGGGGTGAGTTCTGATATTTGTTTGTTCTGGCAAAAATTGGGCCAACTTTGTGAGCGTGGTCAGCGCGTGCGGACGTATAGGGTGCCGGGAGTATATATATTTAGACAACACGAACAAACGTTAGACTGTGTCAGGAACACATGTCGAACAAAAAATAACACTAATAAATGTAAAAAAAACAAACACATGGAAAAAAATGAAGACACAAACCGTAAACTTTTTTAAAGAAATGACAATGCGAAGTGTAAACAGCATAAGTAACAAGACAGCCCAATGTGAATTTTTCACATTCTAATTAAAACCATATTGTCAAAAGCGCGACATAATTAGATACGCACATACACATTTTAAGTTCGCATAAAGCTTTGCTGAAATTTGTGTAAATTTGCCCTACTATGCTCTTGTCTACAATTTCGTTTTCCCGTGTGTGTCTCTCTAGTAACTTTACATGTTTTTTGCATATTTTCTTAGGCTCTGCGCTCCCCTTCTACCTCTTCTTTCTGAGCTTCCGTGCTTTCGGCTTAAAATTTTACGACCCACGTGTAGCTGCAAACATTCAGTTCAATGGTCTATATAGCTTCGGCTGTCTGTACGCGGCTAGTCCTGGTCAAAGCTTGTGGAGGAGAAAAACAGCATTTTGCAGGTGTCTGTAATACATTTTCGATGATTTAGAGTAGATATTAGCATTGGGAGAGCGGTAAGCTCTCTGAATACTTTTAGATTACCGTTGTACGAGGATTCTAGAAACACGGAGAGTGGGCTTTAAAAAAGCGTTCAACGATATCGAGCACTCTGTACTCAACTATGAGAAAGCAGTAATTAGGCCGTCCCCGTATTCTTTGTTTAGATCAAATTCTGAACGTTTTAGAGCACTACACGCACTCTACAATGGGAGAGTCGTAAGCTTTCTTTGCTTACAGACAAGACTTGACGCTTTCTATCGCTAAGCTCTCGGTGGTTAGTGCCGTTAACAGTGCATTGGGAAGACATAACGACTTAAGGTCACTTGAACAAGACGTATAAACCTCTTCTTAGTAGCACAGTGTATGTTCAATGTATACATCTGTCCAGCACGTGGTATATGCTATATCCAGTACTTTACAAAGGTATGTGACTTCATAATTGGCTTTTAGAGATAGCTTTTAGCATCTCCGGTACTTCCGATGAAAGGTGTACAACATAAAGCAGATTCGCACGCATAAAATTGGCTACAAGATTCTGCAATATCGAATGAATCTCGTGTTTCATAATCGCCTAAACTTCCAATCGCGATTTCCAGGACTGAGAAAGTCAATTGTGAAAAGGCCAAGATACGTGATGGCGCCCACGAATGAGAATTAATGTCCTGTGCATACATTACCCGCCACGCTTGCTAAAGAGGTCGAGAAGTTACAAGTAAACGTCTGCATTACTTTAGAGCGTCTTTCATTCGTTTTCTGAAAAGAGCAGCGATAAGTATAATCGCTCGAGTGCACTCGCGAAAGAACTGCTAACGATCCTTCGTCACCGTGTGCCGCAGCTCGAGCACTGAGGGCTTTGCAGTGCCCCCTACAGTGTACGGAGAGAAACAAAAGTGACGAAATGTAAGACAAAAACCATGTCTCTATTGCAGGAAAGTGATGATTCATAGCAATGTCACCTAAAAAAGTACAGGCGCTGACGCAGTACGCGAAAACAAAAAACGACTGCAGCTTCTTGGAAGGAACGCTTATCTTAACACGCGCGCCTGTGTACACAGACTCCCAGCATGCGCTGTGTTTCATCGTTAAAACCTAAGGTTGAATGAAAGGAAGAGAAAAAAAATTGAAAACACAAAACACACTCCAGAGTGATCCATCAATTTGTAAAGAGTAACCAGCCAGCAAAAGCTGTTTTTTTTTTGCTTCCTCTGCTATTTACCAGCCATTTTGTTTTCCTGGGAGTTCTCTGTTTCACACTCGTTGCCCCCCTTTATCTTTATTGCATCGCATTGTCTGTTTATTGTTTTTCGTTTTTGTTTTGTCGCTGCCTGCTGTGTTCTCGCTATCCGTGCCCTTCGGGAGGGGGATGCATTCTCAGAAGTCCTCGGAACCGAGGGTAGAAACTGTGCAACTTCTTACCGCGCAGCAACCTCCGCGGCAAGCGAGAGAAGCACAGCAGTTCGACTGTGCCCGTACTGGGAAGAACTCGGTTAAGATAAGGCCCGCTGAGGCATCTGGCAAAAAGGAAACAGGCTAGTTGCTGAAGAGTGGAGACGCGTGGTCCCAAGAAAGCCTACTGCACACATTGGTGTCAAAAGATAGGGACTCTGTTAACGAGGTACGCGAACCACACCACACTATATGTGCCTCCGTGTAGTGTTTTGTTTTCGTTCTATTTTACTACCGTAGCTTTCTTTTCCTGAACTCTATTTTCTCTTTCCTCTATTCGAATACCTATATGCTTGGAATGCAATGATTCAATACCCCACATGCATTGAAAAATTCGGTGTCGTAGTTCGTATGTACTTTGAAGATCGCAGTACCCTACGCACACTTAGAAGGCTCAAAGTTCGAACTCCTGTGTATACTTTGACGATACACAGATAGTCAACACACTTTGGCGTGATCGGAGATCAAGTCCATACGTACTTTAAACTGTAAAGTTGTTTGGGAAATCTGTATGGATACCCTGCCGTGGAGGTCTAGTGGCTAAAGTATACTCGGCTGCTGACACGCATGTCGCGGGATGGAATCCCGGCTGTGGCGGCTGCCTTTTCGATGGAGGCGGAAATGCTCTCGGCCCGTGTGCTCAGATGAGGATGTACGTTAAACAACCCTAGGTGTAGAAAATTTATGGAGCCCTCCACTACGGCGTCTCTCATAATCATATAATCGTTTGGGACGTTAAACCCCACATGTAACAATCAATCTCTACGGAGTTCGCTTTCATTTATTCGAACTATTTTCTGATGAAAGACAGTTATTCTGTGTTGATGAACGCTCTTGAAAAACAAGGACGCAGTGAAGCACAAATGGAACACAAACAAAATCGCTCTACCAAATGAGTTTAACCATGTATGTCCAAAAATACGTGCACCATATTTTTCGCACTAGTGCAAGAATCAGCACTCCCGAAGACAATTATTCCATTTTGCCACAAACTCGTCAATTTTACCTCGCAGAAGAACACGTCTACCATAGGAAAAGTTCAAGACCCTTCCTGCGTGCATTCGATCATATTTATCTATATATGTTTGTATACTCAACTCGCAGCGAGTGGCAGCACACACTAACTATTATGAAGACTTCATTAGCTCATGGTCAACTTGTGTCGCGCGTTTTATTTATTTCGGCTGCATCGTCTTCGTCCTCGTATAGAACACTTCATTTTAGTGAACTGTAATTACCCAGAAAGACCAAATCAAAGCTACACATAACGTCCCCTCTCGAAGGGTCATATAAGCAACGCTAGAGCTATAGAATGAACTCATGGAAGAGTCGGTAGCAGTCGCGTATCAGCTTTCACTGACGGCGAACGAAGCGAAAATGAAAAGAAGCAGGAGTCGAGGTGTCGTCGGGCGGTCGGTTGTGGTCCCGTCACCTCTTAAGTGGCGCACCGTGGCAGAGGCTGGCAGGCAGCTCGTGTTTCTGACGCCTGCGCGCCCGCTATCGACACCGCCATCATCGGACACCCCATAGTTCCCGGTCCTTTCTTTCTTTCTTTTGCAAAAGCACATCTTCCCGCTACCGAAGGAACTGAATTGTGCTGCTTCCTGGAGGAACTCGGCGTTGCCTTTCCGGCGGCCGCCCGAGCATGGACTTTTTTTTCCCAGCAGTGAACTGCGGCCGCCCATACTGTCCCTCTTTCCGTATCTGTCTGTCTTCTCTGGATTCTCATCGTGTCTGCTCTGTGTGTGTGTGAACATATCGCTCTTCGAAATCTCTCCAAAGCCAAGCAAGTGTGTCGCATGTTGTTCGAGCTGCTTACTTTCCCCGCATAAGTGCAGGCGTGCACGGGAGGCGACAAAGACGTGATAGATGGGTCACAGGACTGCGCAGGTGTAAACTCCCCGTACGTAGACCCACGGGAAGGATAATGAAGAGCCCGCACTGTGGTAGATGTACGCTCCTTTTTTTTTTTGGGAAAGAAACGTTCCAGGGAAGCTATGTGCATACGTGTAAATATTTTTGCCACTCAAACCGTTTATAAATGCAGAAGCGAGACGAAAGTTACAGTGATTTATGCGCCAAGTTTGCCAAACCGCGGAGGCAAATATTTCGTCGCCAATGTTGACGAGTCCACTACGACACCATGAAGATGCAGATGCATACGATGCGAGATGTACTTCAGTTAGTGCTTCTAAGAGACACGAAGTCGGTCACCACAGCAGGTGAGCTCATAGGTCGCAGCCGTTCGTTCGGCTTCTGCCGTGTAACTCTTCTCTGCGAAATGAATCTTCAATACTCCAGCCGTGTCGAGTTTGATTAAGATTCCACAGGCACCAATTTTCATGATCTTCTACTGGTGACTGCACTGAGGCAATGGGCCCTTGGATATGCGCTTGATATTCGTGTAATAGAGAGTCACATAACCACGCTTTGTAATTTCTTTCTTGTCAAAAAGCACCCTTCGACAGTCTCATCAGTCAAGTTTATAAGAGCGTTATTAAAAGAAACGCCTCGCGATACTCAGTGTTTATGTCCTGGCTATTGGTTGAAGACAGGCTTCTCTTTCACTATTCTATTAAAGTTTGTTCATTTGATCATGAACAAAGCTTTAAAGTTTGTTCGTGATCAGAAGCAACAGCTGCATGAAGTGGTAACCGTCACCTGAGACGCAACTGTCTATTATAACACTAGTTGTTCGATGTATTTTGCCTCGTATATAGGCGTAATGACGTCGTGCTTCAGCCATCGCTGCTTGTCAGGAGTGTGAACCAATTGATAATATCTCACCATTATTTGCCGCAGCGGTCCAAGAGCGGAGCGGCGGCAGGCACGATGACGGCGCCAACGGCGACCGGAGATGCTCTCCGAGTCCCAACAACCTCGCCGCCGCGGCAGCCGCGGCGGCTGCTGAAATGTCCCTACACAGCCTTCAGGGCCTCAGCCTGGCTGCAGCGCATCCCCAGGCTGCCTGCCCTGTTTCCCTACTTCTATCCCACGGCGTCATTTTACCACCCGTCTATGGGTCTGCCACCCGCAGCCATGTTCCTGCCACGGGGCGGTCAACCAACGTCGTCCCTGGTCGGCGGCCCTCATCCGGCAAGCCTTCCGCTCCTAATGGCCGCCAGCCAGCACTTCTTCAACGGCCAGAATCACCACTTGGGACAACCGCAACAGCCACAGCAGCAGCAACCACTTGCGGGCAGTGGTTCTCTCATCCCTGGCGACTCCGTAGGGTCCAGGTTCCTGAAACAGGCCGCAGGTCCCCAGCAGGGCCGCTTCGCCCCGTATCCCGTTCCCGTGGCATCTTCGCCGTCCTCAGCTTCTTCTTCGTCGGGGCCCCAGCAGCACATCGTGGCGCCCACTCCGACGTATCCGGACTCTGTTCTTCAGGAGGCATCCACAACGACGGCGACCAGGACTCTGTACGGCCCTCCTCCCGCAGGTGTTGTGCTGGACAAGTGCCTCAGTTCACCTTCCTCCGAGACAGGCGGCAACAGCTCGGACAACTCGCTCGCCTCGTCGTCCATGGTGTCGAGCGAACTCAAGAACATGGAGAACATGGTGAACGGACTCGAGAGGCGCCAGGAACAGTTGGCCATGCTCTCACTCTCCAGGCTGAGTGACAAGTAGAGCACTGTGCAGGCGTTAATGATGTGCTTCTCTCTCTCCTCCTCGTATTATACGTGTACAAAGGTTTTGCGTCGCTGTGTGCGTTCAGACGGTGGTGAACGTGGGTCACCTTCGACGGACTGTGGTGAGACGCCCTGTGACCATTTTGTGACCAAACGCGGTGAAAGAGAGATGGAGGGAGAATAATTTTGTGCAATCTGTGTGTGCCATCGTAGTGAGCGGAAAACAGTCAGTGAAGGAGCAGCGCAGTCATGGATAACATGAACGAGACAACGAAGGGGAGCCGTTGAAAGGTGCGTGGACTTTTAATGATGCTATTACAATCGCGTTATCTAGTTTTTTCATGGTTTATTATGTGTTATGTGCAATCAATTTCTAGCACATAGCAGGCGTAGTTCAGAAGCGGAAATTACACGTGGGAGATTTTTACGCAATTTTTCAGAGGGAAAGACTGCATGTTGAAATAAAAGTGTGCCCCGACATTCCACAACTTTGAAATTTCGGAAGATTGATCGGACTTAACGAATACTTTGGTTTAGCATGGTCCTCAGGTCAGTCAGTGGTTACGCACATTCATATAGTCGCTGTGCACAGTTTTTAAGCTTCGTATGTATCGTGTTTTTTTGTCCTTCACACACTTTTGATATATCCTGTACACTTTATTACTTATACTTATTACGCACAAGTTGGGGTTTAACTGCATGCTTTATACTAAAGCAAGCTTCGCCACAATAAAAGAGTTTAGGTGGATAAGCCAACTTCAGTGATACCACTTGCTGAACGCGCGTTCACGTGGATTGCTTGTCGGATGGAGCCATGTGTGCCTGTGTAAGCGCTGATATCGACATAATAGCGATAAGCATCGCACGCATAAACCTGGAAGCAACAAAACTTCATCTCAGTCGATGTGTAAAAGAGAGCGGGGAACACGTACCTTGGCCTCGCGTGCCAAGCACCGTGTTCATTCTCTTCTCTTGAAGCCGCCTGCTCTCCGGTTTTGTTGCCGCTCAAAGAAGGGTGCTGCGACGGCATCGTGTGAGGTTACGTCACATCACATCACACCATAATGTGCGACATCATACGGTGTACGTCATCACGTGATGACGATTTTTCGCATCACTGTATGGTCGGAATTCCCGCTTGATGAGGCATCTAAGGGCCTCAGTAGGTCAGCTGACGTTTGACAACCAACTCCGCTATAGATGTCAAAGGGTGAGGATGCGGGGGGGGGGGTGCTTCAGGAGGGAGACATATGCCAGAGAGGTAGGGCGGAGGTACTCATAACGTCATTAATAACCTCGTCCTTTCATAAGGACCATGGTCTCGTCCGCCGAGTGGTCGCACTGATGAAGGCTGCAGCCGCTATCCCTCCCCGGCAACTTTTGTGGCGCAATCGCGTACTAACACTCTCCGCAGGCGCTGTGGAGAGAACTCAGAGGGCCGGCCCCACTTGACGACGACGATGCAAAGTATACCCACGTGGCGTGCCCTGCTTACAGTGGGCAGGCGCGGCTTTTGAAATAACTCGCGTGTACACAGCGGGATGTTTACACTTTGTTTCCATGCGAATATGCCTTGTTTAATACGTTGGATGCCGCTGAAAAGGGGGGAAACAAAAGCTTGCGTTTCTTGACACGTCGCAGCATGCATGTGCTGAACCACGTATGCATGACTGCGCTACCCTGGCGTTAGTTATAAAACCGTGCCAGTTAGAGTATGCATTTACAGCTTTAGTCCCGCTCGCTTTGTGCACCCCAGTTATGTATAGCGCTCGAAAGACGGGCATTCTCTCCAAGCTGTTTCGTTCTGCATGCTTTCAGCATTGCTGAAGTCTAGAGAGGTATACGAGACATCAATTTTATGGTGTGGCGGAAATGGGATGTTTTAGGTTGCAGGTGAAACTTCTAGCCTTGCGAGGTGTGAAAGCAGTTGCCTCGTCAAGTTTCCTTTTTTTTTGACGTTATTTATTTATTTATTGAAAATACCTTACAGGCCAGAAGGCATTGAGTAAGGGGGGTTACAGTGAAAAATCGCATGTAAATTTCAAAATAAAAACGGTACAATGTCGGTTAGTAATAACAAAAAAAATTAACAAAGCAATAAGTCAGCAATACGTAAACATGGCGATGAAGTATATAAGAACACTCCGTAACATAAAAACCCTCGGAAAAGAAGTAAAAGAACGTCAAGATGAAATATTAAGGAAATGCGTCTGAACTTTTTGCCGAAACGTGTTGGGGTTGCTATCAGAGGCGATATCGTCGGGAAGATCATTCCACATGCGGATGGCTTGTGGTAGTGCGGATGTGTTGAACGCGTTCGTGTTTCCAAAAATGCGAGTGAAGCTGAGATGGTTATGTAATCTGCGTGACGTGTAGAGCGGGCGTTGAAGGTGCAACGACGATGTTTTGTTACTGTAGACGTACTTATGAAATAGGCATAACAAGGACACGTGACGACGAACATTTAATGCTTGGAGGGAATGATGGAGTTTAAGCTGAGTCACACTGGAATTGATGTCATAGTTTCTAGAAATGTAACGGGTGGCTCTGTTCTGGATTGTTTCCAGCATGTTAATTTGATACTGAGCGGAAGGGGACCAAACAGATGAGGCATATTCAAGTTGCGGGCGGACGAAAGTTAGGTATGACATTTTGCGAATGTTAGTGGGACAACGACGAAGGTTTCGGCGTAAATACCCCAATGTTTTGGAGGCTTTTGCACAAACGTTAGTGATGTGATCAAACCAGGAAAGCCCTGGTGTAAGGTGGATGCCAAGATACTTGTAAGAAGTCGCCGTGGAGAGCCTGTCACATTGCATATGGTAAGTGAAGTTAGATATGACCTGTTTACGTCCAAAAGAAACAACTTTACACTTATTAGTATTCAACCTCATAAGCCAAGTGCTGCACCAGTTAGAAATAGTGTTCAGATCATCTTGAAGGATGGAGTGATCGTTAGGACAGTTTATAGGTCTGTAGAGCATGCAGTCATCAGCGAAGATTCTGATATGCGATGATATGTTAGTTGGGAGGTCGTTGATGTAGATAAGCCAACTTCAGTGATACCACTTGCTGAACGCGCGTTCACGTGGATTGCTTGTCGGATGGAGCCATGTGTGCCTGTGTAAGCGCAATCTGGGAAATGGTTGAAGTAATACCATTTTTTTAAAAAAAGTGAGGCGCACCAAAAAAGTCGCGCAGCGTGATGCAGCAATGCACATGTCAGTGCCCTATGAGCTATCTCCCAGTCACCGCACAACACCCCAATATAAGTGTCGCGATCAACATGAGGTTAAAAATACAGTGTCTACAACTACGAGTCAAGTACTAGATCTTTGAACAGCACAAATGGTGTTTGGTGTGTTCATTATACCAACTTTCATTCAGCAGATGTGCCTTGTAACAACCCCTCATTGCTGCTCTTTTTTTTATTATCGCCATATAGTCAGTCAAAGTTTTATTATTTCAATCATGTTATTTCGTAGAAGACGTACACGCAAGTCTGTATACAAGTATATTTGGATGGACATGCGCTCCACCCTCTTTGAACAATATGGAGCTTCGGTTCAGAGGCTGTATTCTCAAACCTGGGTGTGTGTGTTTTTTTCTCACTGGCTCTGGCTGGTAGATTTCGGCCTTCAGAAGAAGTCGTATTGCTCTGAAAACAGTGATAATATATGCACAATAAAATACGCATATCCTAGCAACAATAACCTAAATGATTAAACATTATATTTGTACTCCCTTTTGACCTGAACGCATCATTGCCATTTTATGCACAGAAAAAAGTCCCTGATGCGCCCTCACTAAATCGCATTTGAGTTGCTGTGTTTTTTTTTTCTGAACAAACAGTGATCGTTTCGCAAGACAGGACTTTGTTACCTGGTGAGTTGGTGAACACCTGACAAAATCTTCATTTTAGCGCTAAAACGAACTTGACGTCCAATCCCTTCGCCAGTTGAAATCCGATCAGCATGCCATAAAAAAGGCGGCGTGGTGAGCTGAGCATCCTTGTTGTCCCAAACTTCTCATGTGGACGCTGGAGAAGTTAGACAAGATATGCTTCCAGTGCCGCGTTCTTTCTGTTGCACTCGAATTCCCCTATAAGCTGTCTCTCCCGCATTGCACGTCGCGGCGACGGCGTCGAAGTAGCGCTTATTTTCGCAGTAGTATAGACATTCACACACACGGAGTCGCGGGTCATTCAAGCGCGTGCACCCAAGCGCGCATCGGGCGTATTACGAACGCACCCTCTCACAACGGGAGAGACTGGGAGAGCGGAACGTTCTCGAATCTCATTAAAAGGCATTTGCGCACCGTGATGACCAGCGGGGCGTGTGCGTACGGCCTAGTGCAAATGACGCGTGCGCAAGCGGCGCAGATGGTACGCTATGACTACGCAGTTATAGCCGGCGCGGGCGGATCCCCCATTTGTTCCTCACACGCAACCCGTTTCTCCCGTTTTGAATCCGCAATGGGAAAAGAAATCGGGAAAACGCGAGGCAAGCCTGTAGGGAGTACACACGGAGCACAAAGAAGCAGCAAAGGCATGCAGGCTTTTCATCTAGCCACTCCCCGTATATGACGACGTCATCAGATTAGATTCCCTATACTTGTTTTTACTTCTACATCCGCTGGCGTTTTGCCCGACGTGCTGCACAATGATTCCTTTTGTGCAGGCGCGGTTCGCCCCGAAGCGGCGAGATTTGTTCGCGGGAAGTCTCTGGAATTGCCTTTTATTTTTTTTTTCGGCCAGCGAGCGGATAATTTTCGAACCGCTCGCGCTGTGCCACGCGGGGCGATTATACACTCCCGAGAGCAGGCGAGCCTTGTATACGCACGCTTAGTTTTACAACCCAGCGAGGCGGGCGCGATGGAGTTCTATTCGCGCGAACGAAGGCGTACACATCGCTTTCGTTTCGGGCGCGCGCTCCGGTATAATAATACGGCGCTGATACAAAGACGGCGCGGGCTCCGCGCATTGTTCTGTTTTGCGCTGTTGGGGAAGAGTGGGGAAAGAGTTTCCCTTAGATTTCATCGAAGAGAAGGAGAGGGCAGCTTAAAGAGGCGCACAGGGGAATAATAGGGAGCGGTGAGTTTAAGCAATATGGGAAATCAGGAATGCTGGGGAAAGAGGGGTGGATGAAGCACACGTATAAATGCAAAGCTTGCGTGCGTGTAGCAACGCATATGTATATACGGTTCGCGGTTTTGCGCTGGATTGATGATGACGCTGTTTCGCGGGCCGCATTTACTCTTGCTGCTGAGAGTACGCAAGTTTTGGAGCAGTGGAGGATGGTGAGGATGGATTTAAGCGCGTCTCGGAGTGAAAACGCGAGCTGCTCTTGGCACGCTAGCTGCTGAGAAGGGCATGCAGGGCATCGAAAGGGAATCGCGCTCGAACTAGACTCGCTATTGGCCACGCGACGAAAAGACGCGGGTGTGGGCAACGAGGTTTTTTTTTTTTTCTGGAAATGTTTCGAATCTTCAATCTCATGAGGTTGTTTGAAACAGCGCTTGCGTGTGTTATAGACTCAGCGATAAAAAAGAACGGCTGGAGGAAATGACACGAGAAGATAAAGAACAAAAAATGGCGCATTGGCGTTGAGGTGGGGCTGTGGCGAGGAGCTATGCAACGCGTTGCGCCGTTGGTAAGTCACGTAGCGAGAAAAGAAAAAAAAAAAGGCTGAGCGAGATTTTGCGTACAAGCTTTTGTCGAAGGAAGGAATTGAGAAACACATCAAAATAAGAACATTCCAATAGTTTTAGTACGGCTGGAGTGGCGACATCTTTTTCTTCTCGGTGTTTGTATATCCCCGCGAAACCCTTCTATACTTAACGTGGTTTTGCGTGCGCTGTCTCTAAAATTTGAAGCATTGCAATCCTTACGCGCCTCTCCTGCCCGTAGGCATCGTATCCAATAATCTCGTACGAACGCATATGGATCACACGTGTTCTCGTGTGATCATACGAGATTACTGGATATTTGTCGTACGTGTCATATGATAATTTTCTATGGGGTCGTCTTGCACTTCCTCTGTGATCTGCCAGTCTTCGACCAAGTCCTGTCGATCTGTGACGTCAACACGCGATGATGATTCTTCGCACCATTCGCGTTCACGCCGCCGAAGGTCAATTTACGCGTTTTGCGCAGCATCTGAAATTTTAGCCTTTGAGAAAATCCGACCACGTATGTACACTAAATTCTCATGATAACAAAGTTGCATGTTACAAAAAATTAGGTTCTTTATATCCGAGAATTTTTCGCAAAAGTATATTTTAACACTATCTCTATTGCAAGAATATTCTTCATTTACTTCGTCATAACAAATACTTCGTTATATGCAGGCTCGTTATATCGAGGTACGATATACGCAAGCGGATCAATAAAAGAAAAGAACACACAGAAGGGATCGGATGGCTACTTCAGCGTAGTGTGGTGTTACGAAGAGAGGCTTTACATGAAAAAAGATGAGCGAATAGTGAGAAGGCAGATGGTAGAGGGAAACATAAAAAGTTCCTGCGAAGATTTTCCTCGCGTGCTGAAATAATGAGAGGAGGCTGAAGGGGGGGGGAGTGCATCGCGGAAGTGCAAGCTGTTTTAACCAATGGCGTGGCGCGAATGGTGTACCGCTTTTGGAAGGGGGGTTGGGGATGGTGGGACACGAAATGGAGGTGCACTTTGTGGTGGGGGAGGTGGGAATTACGATGTAACATTACTGTGAGGAATGAGAGAATGTACAAAAGAGGGAAAAAACAAAAGTAAGAGAGGGAAACAGGGAAGGGAGAGCACGTAGCGAAAGCGTGCGAAAGCTCCCCGCTTTCTCTCATGCACGTTCGCCACCTAACATTACTATGTATACGCACTCACAAAAAAAAATCAAAATCTTCGCGCAAAAACGTTTCCAAGGTGGGGAGGCAAATGGGCGGGAAGACGGGAGAATAAAAAGGGAGGCGCTCATCGCGAATGGCCACTTCGCGTGTGAAGAGGCACTTGGTGCCGCGCGAGCTCATATTTGAGAAAGACGGCGAAGATGGAGAAAAGCAGAAGAGAGCTTCACGCTGATGGAGTTAAGGGACGTCGAGAGTGACGTCAATTCTTTCTTGCATCCCTCTCTTTCCTCCTAATTCTTCCATCCGTTCCCTTATTCTCGTTCCCTCATCCTCTAATTTCTCTCTCTTTCGTTTTCGTTTCGCGAGAAGAAAATGCGTTCTTTCCTCGTCACTCGGGAAAATGGGGGAGAAGATGAGGAAACGGGGAACCAGGAATGGGCGTATCTGCGGCGGCTTCTTCCCGAGAGCGTGCACACCACGGACTGCTGGTGTCTTGATGGCGTGGGTGCCGCGCTCTATAGTAGTGCCGGATGAGAAATGAGTTGATGAGGGACGGACCAGGGCTCAGCTGCGTTAGAGGGCCTCGAGCGCTAGATATCGCACTGGGGTCCTTCCCTTTTTTTGCATTTTCTTTCGTTTCTTCCACATCTTCCTCGTCATTTCCTGTCGCCGTTCTCATCGCAAACTCCGTCTTCCAAACTTTGATGCCCTTTGGTGCACCCAAGGTGGGCTGTGGTGGCGCGTTTTCTTTTTGCGAGCGCAACAACTATAACGACTCGAATTAGAGAGATCTTTCACTGTTCTTTTTCTGTCCCAGTGCATAGTTTCTTTCGGTTAGTGTTTCCTGTGGTAGTTGTCATCTTTTACGGCATAGTCGCGCTAAAGTGCAGATGATATGAAAGGAAGCAAAACAAAACCAAACTGGTTCTGCGATGGGGTCTTTAACGAAAGCGTATAGATTGTGACGCGACAAAGTGGGACGCGTTTATGGCGAAATAAAATTATTTTGCTCGTTTGTTTGCTCGCTCATGAAGGTACGCCTGTGTTTCGCGCCGACTTGCTGGTCTAAACAACATGACTAAGCAAAGGGCCTCCTCATGACGTATTCTACGCGAGTATGCATGCATTCCGTCGTTTGAAATTTTGGTGGGTACTGGAAGGTGATGCAACGCGACAGCGTTATAGAGGTTGTTTCGCAGAAACTCCGGTGTCGGTGTCCTTCAGCGTGGCCTTCAGCGTGGCAAGCAGGTATTTCGTTACAGAGCCGTGCCATTGGTTGGAGCGGAATAAGAAAAAAAAACTGAAGCAATATTATGCATGCATGCAAGATTGCGTGGCAGAAGTGTAGAATCGCGTCGGGCGCCAAAACATGTGAACTACGCCCCCTATAGTGAATATTCTAAAAGCCCATTCAATTAGAAGCGCTCAGAAATTCGCGTCGGACTCGTTCTCGCCCCTTCGCTAATTCGCAAAAGGAGCAACTATGGTGTATCGGTGTATCTTCATTAGGCATTCTAGGACAATTTTGAACGACCAGTGTTACACGGACAGTTGATACTTTCCTTGTGGTACGCTTGAGGCGTGCATCGAGAACCGAAGGCAGGCCTGTGATTGAGATGGCGTTGCGTACGGAGCCCGATTACGCTATCGCATTCTACTCTTTAAGGCGAAGCTCAAGGGTCCTCCAAGTTTTTGGAGCGCAGCTCTCAGACGCCCGTTCCTGCGTTAAGCACGGCCGCCGTCACCGTCGCCGTCAGTGACGGAAACAGTGGATATAAAACAGTAATGCCCGTTGGTTCTTTTTTCTTAGGAAGCCCCGTGCACAGCAGAAATGCTGCATTTTAAAGTGAACATGTTATCAATAAATAAGCCGTCATTATGTAATCGGTAAGTTCTCGCATGCTCGGGCAAACACATAAACGAACCATAGGCTGCAATGTTCTGAACCAAAGTTCACACGAAGTTCGAGTATAGGCTTTTGGCACAAGTGATTACGCACAATATTTGCAATGGGGCAGTTACTCGCACTTGACTGATACTTCGAAGAAGTTACCTCTAAATGGTAAAATCTTCAAAGCCGTGCCTAATTTTGAAATATATGGTGTTTTATACTGGACACTTTTCCAAACCTGTCTTTTAACGAACACTTGTGACATCTTAGCTTTCCTGCCATAATGACCGTATATACGGATACATCACTTGTTATTTTTTGCTCTATACGTGGGAAATCAAAAGTTGTCTCGCTTTAACCGATGGTGACAGTTTCAAGTATGGCTGTATAATAACATGTATTCAAAATAGTACATTTGGGACACTACTTGGGTTCATGAGGTGTGAACTCGATTTTCCAATAAAAAAAATGGGGGCCATGACGTTGCCATGTGATATGTAAGCATATCACTATCAGTTTTGCGTACTTTTAGTGTTGTTGTAGTTGTTGATGATGTTGATGATGATGATGATGATGATGATGTTGTTGTTGTTGTTGTTGTTGTTGTTGTTGTTTACTATAATCCCTAACCGCTTTCGCTACGTCGCGACATCTCAAGAGACAGCATTATTTGTGAATAAAAATAAGCCACTGTGGGGCTATATATTTTTTGACGAATGTATTCTGTTTAACAATTTGGGAAATCACGTAGTGCTTTTGATGCGGCCAGCGCGGGAGTCGCGCGCCGGCAGCAGCTTGCGCGTACGCAAACGCTTGACGGGCGTACAGTGTTGAACGCTCGAACCGCGGCAAGCGCGCAACGCCGTCGCAGCCGATGCGGTTCAATAGCACACAGTAAAATTTTTTACACCCCTATGGGTGTAAAAAGGGTGTTTTGCAGATTTACACCTTTTTGAATGAATGTAACACCTTTTTCTTTGCTGGTACACCCTCAGAGAAGGGTGTAATGGGCATAAGGGTGTTATTATGCCGTTCGTGAGGGTGTTGAAAAACAGAAGGGTGCACGCTGCTCGAGCGTTTGCGCACGCGCGAGCTGTTGCCGGCACGTGACTACATCTCTGGCTGCATCGCGACGCCATGTGCTCCGAGATTTCCCCTAATTGTGAAACAGACTACATTGGTGATGACCAAGGAGTGTAATCCCTTGAAAGCCACCGAAGGCGATTCCCTGCGTATACGCAAAGCTCTGGGCTATGGTATATATCTTAAACTTTTCACCGGGTGCACAATTCCGAAACTCTCTGTATTTGCCACTCATTTCTATACCTGTATAACGCCATGTGCTGACACGATGCTCAACGCCTGTTTCTTTGATTTTTCTCGTTTCAGACTGGCTCTCAACGCTACGCAGCCGGGTGAAGCTCCTGTCCAGGTCTTTGCATGTCTACTCTGTGTACGCCCTACACAACAACTTTGCAAGAACCATACGCAGAGAAGCTGAGCTAGGCGTTAGTGGTGTAGTACTGTATAAAAACAAATTCTGTGGCTGTCAGGTCATGCGTAGCCTTTCTTCTTTTTTTTTATCTTTTCCCAGGTGAATTTACGCTGCTTTGGTGTTGTACATATGTAGAGTTTCGATTTTTAAAAGTCGTCGTCATTGGACGCTCGTATATCGTGCATGTGGGTGACTGCGCGTTCCTTTATTTATGTATGAAAGAAGACTAAAGTGTGCTTGATAACGACGCTTCGTTATGCCTATGCATACAATAGGGTAGAATATGCATTCAGAAATTGGAAAACTCATCCTTCAACAAGATAGGAAAGTTTTGTAATAATAATACAGAACGCCGTAAGTGACGATGTTTAGGTGGTAGAAGGAATGACTCGTTTGCTGACTCTTTTTTTTTTGTCACGTCCCAGGCGGCCGACATCTTGGCTCTTATTACTACTTCGCAGCCTTTCTTCAGAATGCTAAGGTCGAATTACGCTGCTCGTGAAGCGGCTTGTTTATAGCTCCGCACAACCGCGTTCATACGCACGAATCAACCGCCATTAATTACGTACCTTTTAACGAAAGAACATTCGTGTGTAGTGCTTTCGTAAAAAAAAGTGCATTGCGCAATAAAGATTCTTTTTTTTTTCTTGTCTTCTTACATCGCCCGCGCATCAGTACATGAGTTGATGCGTGCTCAAGGTGACTTATGTGAAAAATTGTCCGCAGCCAAAAATTGTGACATCACCCTTCGTGATCAATTCTTTGACCAACGTTTTAAAGGGAATCCTGATGTCACCTCTATAGTCGCACATAAACGTAGAGAGAAGAAAAAGGTTAGTTTTTTTTTTCTAAGGGAGTGAACTGTGTGCGGCATCAAACACATTCTTAAGGCATACGACAGGTTTGTCTCGTTTTAACATGTTGTGATGAAAAAATTTTTTTCTCCTGCATGTTGGAGGATGATGTCTGAGCGATGACGGTCACAAATGAAAGGCAGTATCGACAAATTGGAACGAGAAACACAAAAAGTATAATTAGGATTAAAAGAATATTCTTTCAATATATAATTCTATCCACCTATTTGTTAGATTCTCGGTCACAATACACGCAGTTGAGAATACAAGCCACGGCATCAGAAAAATCTTGAATCACATCACTGCAGCCTCCAAACGTAAGATATCATTAGAAGGGTTTAAGTGCCGCCTTATGTATCTACCTGCTTTTCAGATCTATACGAAAGACGCATATAGTATGACTTCTGCAATCTTGATAAACACGTTGCTCGCAAGCGTATCTCATCGCTACTTCGGAAATGGAAATGACCACACTTAGTTCTATAGTGTGATGAAATGTGTTGTGTGGGCGGCAATGCAAAACTGTTTTGGTGAATCAGCAATAAATAAAAAAATGAACACACGAGAATCGGCGTGAACTCATTATTAAAACCAATGCTTTTGGCCGCCTTCGCGGCTCTCAAACCTGCAGTGTGGCGTAGCCAAGAGAGGGAGGCGTGTTTCGAAAATTTGAAATTTCGCATGCGTCAATACAAGGCGGCCAAATTATCACGCATCAGGATTTCAAAAAAAAAAAAGAGAGAAACGCGTTACACGAAGCAAATATGGTGCATATTGTTCTCAATACACTGAAGTAGCCACTACTAATTTTGTTAATGAATAATAACTAATTAGTTTATTAATTTTGCTAACTCAAACAGTACTCAATTTATTATCAAAAGGTCAATGGGGCTGCTGTGCATATGTTGAAATGGCATCTGTTTGTGCTACTTCCAGTAACATATTGATTGCGTGTTTATTTTTTCATGAATAACGAAAGCCCGCGAAATTTAAAACAATAACTCGTGACTGCGCTCACACCCGCAAAAGAAAGCAGCGCCTTAAAACATTCTAACTAGAAGCAACATGTTTTGCCTCTTTTCCGTTGCTAGAGACAGCGTTTTGCACATAGGCAAGCGTATACAGGCAACGCCATCTAGAAAACCTTTTCTACACGGTGTTGATACAGGTCGCGTGCCAGCAACACACATAAGTCGCAGTTTCGCAGAAATTCCTTGATTAGCAGACGACGGTCAAACAAGAAATATCGGCCTTCGAGTAAAAAAAAAATGTTATCTATAAGTATAGCTTCTTCGGTGAAAAGTAGTGAGCAAATCAATCTTGTCAGCCCGCTAACAAATATCAAGAAATCTGAAGGTTGAAGTTTTGCAAAGATCTTACCGTTTTGACGCGAAATCGTGAATAGATCAACTTTGACAACACACCAAGAAATTTTATAAGAATCACACAACTGAAGATTTCCGACAGCTATATATATATCTCCCTCTTCATGCAAGGAGGCCAGAAAACTTTGTGTGCACCAAGACTCGGACACCAAAATGCAGCATTTAATATGGAGAAAGCGCTGCGTAATGTACACACCAACTTTTGAACCATGTGATTAAGTCCATGGCAGTAGCCGAGTTGGTAAATTGTTCAGATATAAACCGAAAAGGTGCTGGCTCGAACCATGGTAGTGTTAAAAGAAGAAAAAGCCAGAAGGCGATGTGGGTATAAGGAAGCTAAATCGAATGCCAGAGTTCATTCTTTATTTTTATTCATGGCTTGTAGTAGTGAGCAGACCTGTGTCGTGCTGCCCCGCCGCGGTGGTCTAGTGGTTAAGGTACTCGGCTGCTGACCCGCAGGTCGCGGGTTCAAATCCCGGCTGCGGCGGCTGCATTTCCGATGGAGGCGGAAATGTCGTAGGCCCGTGTGCTCAGATTTGGGAGCACGTTAAAGAACCCCAGGTGGTCAAAATTTCCGGAGCCCTCCACTACCGCGTCTCTCATAATCATATGGTGGTTTTGGGACGTTAAACCCCACAAATCTAATCTATCACCCTGTGTCGTGCTGGTACTTTAGTGCGTATAGTGTTCAGTTCATAACCCAAAGCTTGGCGGTTCGAATTACAGAGCTGAGATTGCTGGAACACTGCAGGAAGTCGTCCAGACAACTATTGTCTGCACGACATATGAGCTCTGGCAGTTATAACTGCCAGAACCTAAATGTGTTAGCTGTCACATAATTTACAAAACTGGACAGAAGTGATGCGAAGAACAAGAGAGAGAGAGAAAGAGAGAGAGGGAATGTAGAAAAGGTAGGGAGGTTAACGAGACTATGCCTCCAGTTTGCTACCCTACACATGGGGAGGGGGAGAGGGGAGTAAAAGAGAGAGGGAAGGATAGACACATGTCACGTCACACACACAATGCCGAGTTTCACAGGCGGTCCCTCAATGAAGTTGCTGTCAAGTATCTCAGGAGGGCTCGTGTGGCTTTCTGTGCTGATGAGCTGCACGACCAGGCTCCTAAGATCTTTGCTTCATTAAATGGCCGGTCATCGAGTCTATTCAAGGGACACTGGAGAGTCCGGCGATCTTCATCAAATTGGGCACAGTGGCACAAGAGATGTTCAATAGTCTCTATACAGTTGCAGCTTTCACACATGGCTGAATCTGCAATGCCAATGCGATGGATGATTGACTTATTAAACGCTACCCCAGTCCACAGCCGGCACAGCATTGTAGCGTCACGTCGAGAAATCTTGGATGGCAGTTGTTTCTGGAGTAATGACTTAAGACTCTTAGGGCGATGATTAGAGTTAAGTGGAGAATTCCAGTGCGCAAGCGTGGCATTATGCGTGATGTGATGAAGTTGTCTAGCTGCGTCTACTCTTGACAAGGTTATTAACAGTGTGGGCGCTCCATCGTGGGCACATCGGGTAGCATCGTCGGCGAGGTGGTTACCACTGATGCCACAGTGGCCCGGCAACCATTGTAAAACAATATCGTGTCCTTGATCAGCGGCGCGATCACAAATTTCATTAATACGATACACCATCCGGTGGTAGTTTGCACGTCGTAGACTTCGCACGCATAGAAGTGCTGCCTTGGAGTCGCAGAAAATGGCCCACCTACTAGGGGATTCTTGCGCAACAAACTCCACAGCGGCTCGAAGAGCGGTGAGCTCGGATCCCGTAGATGTCGTGACGTGTGATGTCTTGAATTTGACGGTGATTGATCGAGATGGTATGACAAAGGCACCTGTCGAACTTCCCGAGACCGAACCGTCCGTGTAAACATGAATTCGGTTAGCATACGACAAACGCAAAAAGTCCAGTGAGATCTGCTTGAGGGCTGCAGATGACAGGCTTGCCTTTTTAGATATCCCCGGCACTTAAAGGTGCACAGTCGGTCTTTTCACGCACCACTCTGGAGATGGTGGTGTGGCTTCGGGCGAGAATCTTCACGAGATGGAATTCTGGTTAGCCGCAACAACCTTGGAAAACGCTGTCTTTGGTCTTTCTAGTGGCAAGCTAGCAAGGCGGTGGTTAGGCACTCTGGATATGTGACGGATATGTGTCCGGAGTGCGTCGACAGTTATATATGTCGTGATCGGATGGTCTTTGGCAATACCAATTGTTGCTAACGTATTAACGCACCGAGGTAGCCCCAAGCATGTGCGGAGGACTTGGCGAAGAACAAAATTTTGGGTGGGCCTTAGGCCACAAAATTGTGGTGGGCATGTTTTTTTTGCAAGAAAGTTGTTTCTACAAAAATAGAGGACACACACTAGAGCGGCATGGGACCGTGAGGTTCGGGGGTCCCCATGCCACGAAGTTTCCTCGAGTTGGAGTGTCCCCCCGAACGATTTGACCATCGTACCACCGTAGCACCACCACGAAGCCCGCTCGTACCTTAACCGAGGCGCCGCATGGAGTGCACACGAAGAACTGAGCCATGCCCAGGTACTCGATCGCTTTGCCTTTTAACCCAGTGGCCTCCCGCCGGCAGTGGGAATCAAACTCGGTATACCGCCCACATCGGAAACAGACTCTCATTCATTTCTCTATCGCTGTGGCGGGAAGTTGCTGACAAATGATATATATATAAGTTTCAGCAATAGTGCGACAAAACTTCAGAAAATAAAATTTCATGGGCTATAACGAATTGTTGACGAAATTGGCGGTGACAGGGACTTCGAACCACCGAAGTTACTGTTATGAAACGAACGGTTAATACCTCACTCATTGGAATGTGGCTGAGGGAACGCGGCAATCATTTTATTTTACTTTTATAGTTCACCTGTCGTTGCAACCAC